TCTGGTGAGAACGACAAACGAATCTCTTCATCATGTACTTTCATTCGAAATAAAGGTCCCCCTAACAATATTAAATAGTGCTTTACATTTAAAAAAAAATTTTAACTAAAATAAGATAATCGTTTGAAATAAGCTATTTGTATACAAGATGATAAAGTTTAAGTATGAAGATGAATGTTTTGCATTCTCTTTTCTTCTATTCAATTTGCACTAGGTCAATTATTATCATAATCAGCTATTTGAAGCGACAAATAGTGACTTTTCGAAGCTACTTCTATGGACCTAGGTCTATTTAATGCCAACCAACTATGATAGAGTACAATATATAGTTTTAGTATATTATTAGCACTCCGAGTGACTATTTTCTTGTACATATTCTGCTATAATCAGTAAGAGAAATCAGCTCTACTTTGTTGCTTACCCCTCTGGGCAGACCGGCTCCAACTGAGACGGTTCTTGAAGTCGGTGTGCATTTTGCGAAGAGAAGGGTTGCAGAATCCATATTCGAACGTTTGTTGGTTATTTGACAGTGCCTATTACAATTTTCTTGCAAGCTGGTGACCGTGTCCTCGCAGCAAGAAGATACAGTCGGCCAAGATCGAGGAATGCTAGTATCGTGAATTGAGTTGAAAAGCAGATCCGCATGTCTCTTCAAATCTGCTTGACGAATAGGATCGAAAAATGAATCTTTTCTCCGCGGATTCGATCTATTCGGAGTCCAGTTGGGCCCTTTTACATGTGAGCAGCATGTAGATAGATGATGACAATTGCTCGTCTGATGATCGGCCCAAATGTGCGGCTCGTTTTGGAGCGACCAGACAATCTGTCCGGTGGGTAGGCTTGAGCCAAATGTCTGATTCTCAGCTGAAGAAAGAAGTTCCGTTGTGCCCGGTTCAACGATATTACCATTTCGATGTAGATTTTTGGCTGACATCTTTTCAGAACCAATGGCATATGTTGGGACATCTGTTCTTGAAGTATTAGTGCCTGATATTCCTCGAAAGAAAATGACATCAGAAAACTCGTCGTGCCAACTTACTTTTGGATCACAATAAAAGTAAGTGTCCGAAGCAGTAGAGACTAATGCTGTATTGGACTGCGGAAGCCATAATCCACATGGTGAACACACACACACTAGGAATAATGCACAATGGACGATTTTGGAGCTCAAATGAGCTCTTTGTGTGGTAAGAATTCTGATTATTTCTCTTCGGGTTGGTTACAATTGAACCTTTTTTCTCCAATAATGTAGAGTTAAACAACATTGGCGCTATGTGACTTTGAAGGGCACATAAATGACCTGCATCTATGACGCAAATGTATATTTAAGGCAAACATAAATTAATCACATTTTTATCACATAATATGGTTCAGGTCATGATAGTTGCATTGTTCAGAACTTCATAACAGTCTGTATATTCTGGCCTTAAAAACGGATATATTTCTCATACATTCCTCATGAGATGACATCAGCGCTTGCGGATAAATTCCATCTGTACTACAACAATGCAGATTTATACAGATTTGAAATTTCATTGGAAATCAAAATTTGCAACTTTAGCACGATTCCTTCAACCTCTGTGTCGTGAAGACGTGTGGTTGCTTACTTGTGCATAAATTACGCTTTGCACATCCACATATGTATCCACCTGTATTTATCACATATGGATAAATACGTAGCTTTAGTTATCCGAGCTGAATCCACATATGGAAAGGAGGTTTGAGCAGCTTAATGATAGATACAGTCTATGCATCCGACTCCTATTGGTCCAAATTTGGATCATGCCAGCTTTTTTCTTTTTTAACCCCTCATTTCCTACCAATTGCAATTCAAGTCCTCCGCCGAGATCTGGATTTCTTTTAGCCTATCTCTGCCTAAAGATACTGTCCGTCGTCAAAACAAGAAAACCAATCTACGAATTCATTTACTATTCTTATCCAGACTTATTAATGAGCCTACTTTCTGCTAAAGTAGCATATTAACACACAATTTATGCAGATTAAAGTTAGCAGATCATTGTATCAAAACGTATTCTCAGAAAATTTGGTCTTCGAGGAATCTTTTGCTTCATAATTGTTGAGCTTACTTCCATTTCGAGTAAAAGTGTTGCGTGAAGAGATTCGAAAGTTGGTTCCAACAGCAGTCTCCTTTGATTCCGGTGAAAAGGTGATAATCTATCGTCCGTCACATGACGAACATCATCAGAAAAAGGTATCATCGTCACAACCAAATTCAAGCTAACGAGTCAAGAAAACTCACCGACAAATCCATATATCTTATAAAAAGCTCTTCAGTTGGTATGTGTTTCGATGAAGTTCGAAGCGACTTAAAGGGTGCTAGAAAGTATGAGTAAATGTTTGAAAAGCCGGGTAAAAGAGATCCGAAAATTGGTCTTACATGAAAATAAAATAACAATTGTCTTGAAGTACCGATTGTCGATTGTACGAAGAAGATCGCGGCCCAATCTCCTACGTCCCTATGAATCCGTGCTA